TTCGGCCGGGGCTCAGCCCCAGGTATGCCTACACACTCCTCCCCCTGTGTCTCCCCCATTAAAGTCCTTGCTCTAGGGACAGTAGAAATCTTTGAGCAGAAAAGATTTTGGGCTGGGATTTCTTTGGAAGAGAGAGAGTGGGGAGTTTGGGGGTGCTGGAAGGGGCCGCGCTCTGAGTAACTGGCACTGCATCTCCCCGATGAAAGTCTGAGCACAAGGCGCTCCCTTCCCTCCCAGACACCCTGAACTGCCTGAAACGGCTGCCAAGATGCAGACATCGCCCAAAGCCACCTGCGCGCCGTGCCGGCACGGCTGGGTTACCCTCTGGCTAGTGGCACCTCCAGGGCTGCCAAATCCAAGGCCAAAGTGACGCTGGGGTGGTGACCCCAAGCAGCCCCTCTGTGCTCGAGAACCTCAGAATCCCAGGAAAGAAAGAGATTGTTGGCAAGTGGAGATACCGTTCTTGCCTCCAAAGAGCAGGTGTGGCTTTGCAATCAGATGCGCCTCTTTTAAGGGGTGTTTTTCTCTTGTATGAGACACTCGCGTGAATTCAGAGGGAACAGGCTCACCGGGAACACGACGATAGTGATAATGCTGTAAGGTACATGTGGTAAATTGAAAAACCAAAGTGCTGGCCCCAGTCCTGCTGCAGGAGCGGGGATGAGGAGTTTGGGCACGGCAGGTGACGGACGTGGGGCTGGCGGCAGCGCGGGAGGCCGGGGGTTTTGCATGCCCCCACCTCATGTCCTTGGGGTGCCCCAGACCACAAGCCGTGGGACTGAGCCCGGATCTGTCGGACTTCTTCAGGCAAATGGAACTGCCCCCGCTGAGCTCCTCTCTCTGCCTTCCCCTCCCCAGTGCGACCAGTACAAGAAGGGAATAATTTCTGGCTCCACGTGCAAAGACCTGTGTGAGGAGCGCAGCCTCCTCTTCCAGCGCTGCCTCTCCTCCTCTCCCACCCAGCAGGTAGGTCTCTGCCCCGCCGGGAAACCACCGCACGGCCGGGGATGGGGGCAAGCATCAAACCTGGGAAATGTCCTCCTCCACCCACCCGCATGTCTGCTCCTCACCCCAGCCCTGGTACCCGAACCGAACCAGAAACCGGTTCCCTGCACTTGCTGTTGCTTTCCTCCCGTCCCCTCTCCTTTGCTGTAGGTTTACAGTGGGCTCTGGAGGGAGAGGGAGGTGATCATCAAATGTGGCATCGAAGAAGCCTTGAAGGCAGACAGCCACCCCGACTCTGTGCCCAGGAGGGACGTGGTCCTCTTTGACAAACCGACACGAGGGACGTCAATGGATGAGTTCAAAGAAATGCTCCTGAACTTCCTAAAGGTCAGTGCGGAGGGTCCCCCCGGGATCTTGCGGGCCTGGGATGCCACTTGTGATTCAGAGAGGCTAGACATGTCTTTCCTTCCCCTGAAATGAGAGCTCCTCTGGCCCACGCTCCATCAGCTGCTGGGCGCCAGGCAGGACTGCTTACCATCTACGATGGTACGGCACCGAATTTGCTCGAGCACGGCGGCTGTTTCCTCCTCTCCCAAACTCAGTTCTTTGCTTCCCCGGTCCAGTCTCGCGATACGAAGCCCGAACACAGAGAGCTGTGAGGGTCTGATGCCGCTTCTTGTTCTGTTCACAGTCCAACCTGGGAGATCAGCCTTCTCTTGCAGCCTTGGTGAGCCGGATCATCGCCATGGCAGATGTGAACCGGGATGGGAAAGTGTCTTTAGCGGAGGCCAAATCCATCTGGGCGCTACTTCAGCTCAATGAGTTTCTTCTCATGCTCTCCTTGCATGAGAAAGAGCACACTTCCAAGCTGCTGGGGCACTGCGGGGACCTCTACGTCACTGAGAAGATCCCCCACACCTCCCTCTACGGAGTGGACGTCCCCCCCTTCCTCCAGTCGCTGCTGCCTTCAGTCATCCACCAAATCATCCACCAGTGGTTTGCACCAGCGTGGCCCCGGCGGGCAAAGATCGCCATCGGCCTTCTGGAGTTCGTGGAGGAGATATTCCACGGGACCTACGGGAACTTCTACATCTGCGAGACCAGCTTTAAGAACGTGGGCTACAATGACAAGTACGACTTCAAAATGGTCAACCTGAGGAAGGTGGCAACGGAGATGACAATCAGAGGTTTCCTCAAGGGACGTCACTGTGAGCAGAACGTGGACTGCACCTACGGGAAGGACTGTATGGCGACGTGCGACAAACTCATGAAGCAGTGCAAAAGCGACGTGGTGCAGCCCAACCTGGCAAAGGTCTGCGGGTTGCTGCAGGACTACCTGCTGTACGGAGCACCGCTGGAGCTGAAAGAAGAGCTGCAGAAACAGCTCCGAACTTGCATGACCCTCAGTGGCCTGGCCAGCCAGATGGAAGTCCACCACTCCCTTGTGCTGAACAACCTCAAGACCTTGCTCTGGAAGAAGATTTCAAACACCAAATATTCCTAACGGGGGAAGCACGGCCCTGGAGTCTAGAATCTGCAATCTTGGAATAAAGTCCAAGGGTCGAAGGCCTGTTCCTCCATCCTCTCCCCCCCAGGAAAAATACACCCTGCGCAGGGAGTTGAGCATAGCTGCAGCCCCTTCTCCTTCATGGAAAACCAAGCATCATGACTTCCACCGCCCAGCAGCATCATCGATAGTCGGCGAGAGCGTGCTGCGGAGCTGGGACGCCGGGAGCCGGGCTGAACAGGCTTGGGGGAGGAAGATGACACGGAAGGCGATAAGGGAGCGGAGCCCAGCTGGATGCATCTGACTGTTTCTTGATTAACAGGAAAGCAGTGCAGAGAGATGAGAACGAATCATTCATGCTGTACTTGTCACATCTTCTTTTGATGAACGTCTCTGATGTAAATAAATAGCTTTTACGTGAATCACACCAGTACATCAATAGCAAAACAGCAGCCTTTTAAGTACCAGCTTGCTTGTGATCTAAAAAGGAGAAAAAGGTAGATTTCCCTATCCAAAAGTCTCTCCTTACGTGTCTGAGTCATCCGCCATCAGATCCAGCTGTAACTTAGGAAGCAGATAAGCTGTCTTTTCCACAGCGGAGAATCCTGGCAATTCTTTCATTCCTTTTTTAAGTGCCTGACCCCAGACAGGGATGTGATGGCTCGTGTGAGGCTCCCACCCGGCTGCTCCTGCCCGGAATTGGCAGCACTGGCCATTCCCTCTCACGCGTCGGCTTTGGAAGGATCTAAGGCCAAGAATAGCTTAAAGGAAAAGGGCTACGACATGAACAATCCCCACCAGTTACCACTTACGCTCCGTGCGTTACTTCCCACAGTACTCAGAGCAGGGATAAGCCAACCTCTCGGTTTAATTCTCCTAAAACTAAGCTGGGCTTGCACTGCAGAGGTTAAAGATTAATACCAGAATAATCCGGTGCTTCTCTCATTATTAAAACGAATTTCCAGGCAAGCTTTCAGCAAGTTTCAAGACATTTGTTTGGCTGTGTACATACTACCAGGTCTATAGTTTTATTTCCGTTAAATGCTCAGTTACAGCATCCTTCTGAAATTACGGGTAGAGAGGAAGAGTTTATGTAAACTACCCCGAGCTTGCTCTGGTCCCAGCAGAGTCGTATTGCTGCTGATGGACCGTATGCCGGTGCTCTTGCCAACAATTGCTTAGTGAAGTGGAGCATATATCTGAAGTACAATCACAAAGGAAAAAATACATCTGACAGTATATATAGCCTGTGAAGGCAATCGGTAGTGTCATGGCTGCAAATTTATGTGCCCTTTGGAGGAGAGGTATCAGTATTTCCTTCTATTAGTTCCATAGGATCATCATTACCTCTCACTATTATTTATGGAGGAAATGTTTCAGTGTCAACAGTGCTCTAAATCTAGCAGGAGCCAGCGTAGCTCGCTTCCCGCAGAGGAGCTGGCTTCCCAACGCAATTCGTCTGCGGCAAGGCTGAGTGTTTGTGAGGTTTCTGCGTTTGAAGGGTGGCGAGTTGCTCGGCCCCTCAGACTCACCCTTCCTTCGGGATGAACACCGGGCAGGTGAACCTGCACGGGAGCATTTGGTGGAGGGCAAAGGCCAGGACTAGAATTCCGGTAACGGGATTTGGTAATGAGACTCCACCGGCTCCTCCTCTATTGTCCTGCATTCCCATGGCAACCAGCTCCACTGACAAATTAATTTTCTTCTGCTATTGGAAAATGAACCCAACAACTGTGCCAAAGCCTCTCCTCAGATCATCAGAAAAGCCATTTTTCCACCCTCCCCTCTGTGTTTGAAATTCAGTAGTAAATTTTGCCCAGAAAGCGGTATTCCTGCTACACTGAATCCCCACTGTTCCCTTCCCCAAAAGCAGTATTGGGTAAAGCAGCGGGTAAGCACCTGAAGAGGAAAACCACCCTATTCCTTGCTTATCTGTGTAACTTTAAACATCAGAATCTCTTTAAGCATTTATGGTGAAAGATGAAGTTCAACAACAGCCCCTGTACTTTAAAGAACTAGCGAAGACAGCTTTATTCAAATAAAGACGCTCCTGACAAGAGCTGTCACATTACCGTGTTATTAATCTGCACACCCCAGGAGCAGCAGGGAACACTCCCAGGAATCACTTATGACTCACCCCCCCAGAGCACCGAGTTTTGTTCATCACTAATAAAAAGCACAAGTGTTTTCAGACACGTGCTTAACAGTTTATGAGCTACACCGCAATATGGGAGAAAAATGACTAAAGGCAAAGTTATTCTACACTCATCATGCCTTCTCCAGATTTCCCATGTTAGCTGGAAAAAAAGAGGAAGAGCCAGAACACCGCAGACTGACAATCTGATCTCACAGATGCTGCTGCTTCAGCAGCGTAATAGTAGATTTGTGCTACAAAAGGATGGAGGTAAGCAGCAAGACTTCTACCTTTTGTTGTTTAAAGTAAAAAACCATCCCAGTTCTCATATCCACAAATAAAAGTCTTAAATCCTAGAATGGTTAAAAATTAATATTATTGGGGTGCTGCAAATACACAAGCATCATCATTTCCAACTTACTGTAGGTGGCATCTTTATTTAGTAATTTGTTTTTTTAATCCTTCTTAACCACGCAGAGAAAACACCAATTCAAACAGCGGTGCTTTAGAATATGGCTGTGAAAAATGTATGAGCCGCGATGACTGGGCAAAGGGCAAGATTACAACTTCTATGGCTATTCAACAGGAGAACAGCAAAAGCAGAAAGGACACTTGGAGCAGAACGATTTTTTTTTTTTTAAACTGACATTTGAGTACACAAATTGCAGCAAACATTCAGAACCACAAGCAGCATCACGTGCGCTTTCACCAGCTGTAGTGCGCTTTAAGCCATGTATGAGAAAAGACCAAGTTTTAGGAATCTACAGATCTTCAAACGCAGACGCTGCCAACCATTTCACTTGCTGTAGCCAGGTTTGCTAGAAATTCTAAAACTCAAGGTATGATCTGCAAATAAAAAAAGGCCGAGGATGTTAGACAACTTCAAATACAGCCAGCAAAAATTAGCAATAAATGCCAGTCCTAAGCAGCTAATTAATCCATACCATCCAGGCTCCTGCTGTTCACTATCTGAGCACTGAAGCTAGTCAGGACAGAGAATTGCTTTTAATTTCAGAGGCAACATTTTCAGCTAATTGAAGAACTACATCAGGTTTGTCTTGGGACTGTCCAAAGATTTTTCAAATCCCAGAGGAAATAAAAAGCTTCATAAAATTAAACCAAATTTTAGGGAAGTCATTAGCTGGGCTGTTATCACGATTCACAGGGAAACTTCAGAAAGCAATTTACTTCAGGCCAGAATCACAGGAACACCTACCTGAACTGGCACTGGCTGTATTCACTGCACTCAGTGGAAGCTGAGCGCCTGCAAACTTACGTGGATCAGGACCTAATGTCGTGACAGAAGGCAGATGGCACTAATAAATTAGATTAACTGAGGAGAGGTTCATTGTCACTAGATCGGAAAGGTTTTGGGGGAAAAAAAAAAAAAAATCTTCTGGCGAGGCACAGTGCACTCTGGTGAGCCTGGGAAGGGATAATTTAAGGGCACAATAGCTGGAGCCTGCTCTTGGTTACACTTTCACTCTTTGGCAAACTCGCCTTTGATTTTTAGGGAGCCTATCTCAATGCAGAGGCAAGCTATTAACAGTGCAAAGAAAGAAAAGCTGGGCTTATTCCAGTGCTCACAGCCATGACATAAAACAGTTCTAAATGGTGAAGGGCTAAGTTAACATGCAGAAAGACTTTTTCATTTCTCTCAAAACCACTTTAATACAAAATATTCATCTTTTCCACAGCTGAAAGCCAGACAATTCTTTCAGTAAAGCAATATTCATCGCTTGGGATTGCAGCTCAGTCTTGGGAAGATGGTTAGCAGCAAATGCTATTAGGAAAATTTTAATAGCTATCCTACGCCTCACACAGTAAAGTTCTAAAGAGAGACTCGTTAGGCACTCACTACCCCTACAGGACCTGTCATGTGAGTAAGGTCTGATGAAAAAACTAAAATATGTATTTCAGGGTTAAGAGAAGTCAGGAAATTTAAATAGGAGAGTCACATCTTAAGGCATGCCTCTTTACATAACCATATCCCCAACAACCTTACTAGCATTCTTTTCCAAAGCCAGCGCTGGTAGGCAGTGACTTTTCCCAATTAAATGGCTCATTTTGCAGCCAGCAGCTACCCGCTTGGTTAATGGCACCTTTGGCCCTCGTAATACCCGTTTAATGAGGACATTTTCCACCATTTAGCACTGCCAGATTTTGTCAAGCTATTAGTCACTGCAAAGCCTCTCGGAGTTTCACAATACTATCTACGTGTAGCCACAGCTTCTCTCACCGCTTGTTTTAATAACGGTGGCACAGCAGAGGCTCACATGCACCCAAGAAAGGACAGCAACACACGGAGCTATTAGGATACGTTGATGCCTGTGCTCCCCAGCAGCTCGCTGCCATGGAGGTCAAGTTCCTTTGCCGTTGTGCTAGCACATAAACAGAGCAGAAGACAGCTAAAAGGTCACATTGCGCTCAATTTTATTTTTGCTTTTTGTCTGCTGTGTCACCAGCTAGAACATGATGCACAAGGAACCTAGATCTTCTCTGGGGAAACAGGACAAAACGTTCCACTGCTCCACTTACTGAAAGTCAGTTTAGAAGGACTTTAAAAAACACTTCATGTTTTAGCATTAATTTTTTGCTTGGATTACTGAAATCCATCTTTTTCTTTCTTCACTATGTCTAAGACACAATCTCATTACCATGCACATCTGTGACACAAACTTTTTTTTTCAGTAGCATTGTGTCAGCCTGCAGTAGTACGAGAGCCTATTTTGATAATCTCAGGCACTGTGATATATGTAAAAGTGTAAGCTCTCAATAAGTGTCTTGTGACAGCTGCCCTTAAAAGGATGCACTTGTTAATCAGATTAAGAGTGCTTACAAAAATTACTGCACTAGCAGAATAGAGGCAGTGCTCCATCTAAAGTAGAGATTTATCAGCAAAAAAGATGAAAAAACACTGAATTTTAAGTTTTTTCTGCAAGTATGCACTAGTAGCATTTTATTTTTTTATTTATTCATGTCCCAGAAGAAGTCAGAAGGACAAGATGTACTGACCATAAGGACTTCTACCCAGACACTGACTGTTTTGGTAACACACTGAGGTTCAGTATGTTTCCGAGACATGATGCAATACCTACCTTCAACATTTGAAGCAAGTTCCAGAACTCGGTCTTGTTCTCAAAAGTAACTGTAAGAAGAAAAAAATCTTCAGTTTGGGTTTTTTTGGGGAGGGGATGGTTGGTTTACTTGCTTTTCTCCCCACTTTTCCCCACCAGCATGACGATAAAGCTGCATTTCAGAAGACTCGTGATTGCACCTTC